GGCTCTACATATCCATTCCTATTAAACATATTTTCACATTAGTGATGTTATAAGGAAGAATTAGAACCAATAGGAGGAACCACAAGAAAGAGAAAGCAAAACAAAACAGAAGAGAAAAATAGCAAATAGTATGCTTTGATCTGCATCCAAACTCCATAGTTCTTTCTTTGGATGTGGATAGCATTTTCCATCATGAGACTTTTGGAGATGTCTTAGATCCTTGCATTGCTGAGAAGGGCTAAGTCTATTAATGTTAGTCATTGCACAATGTGGCTGTTACTGTGTACAATGTTCTCCTGATTCTGCTCACTTCACTCAGCATCAGTCCATACAAGTTTTTCCATGTTTTTCTGGTCTGCTTGCTCACCATTTCTTATAGTACAATAATATTCCACTACATTCATATACCACAACTTGTTCAGCCATTCCCCAGTTGATAGGCATCCCCTCAATTTCCAATTCTTTGCCACAACAGAAAGAGCTGCTCTAAATATTTTTGGACATGTGGGTCCTTTTCCCGTTTTTATGAACTCTTTGGGATACAGCCCTAGAAGTGGTATTGCTGGGTCAAAGGATATGCACATTTTCATGGTAGGGGGAATATTTTTCATCTTGGTGAATTCTATATAAACCACTATTGAGAAAGATGTGTTGTTCTTTGGACCTGATGAACTTTTTGTTTCCTCGCTGTGTATTTTTATCAATCTGGGAGCATCTCTATGGATAGGAACCTAGAGAGCTGCACTTGTCAATGTATATCTTTGCTGAGTTTTTGTAAAAGAGATTTTTAAAATGATATGTTACATTGACTAAGTCTTTCCAAATACTGACCTTCAACATGGGGTTAATATGTGCCTGGCTTAAAATGTTATGATTTTTAGTAAGTAAAAATAGAGGATGCCTGGCATGGTAATGGAAAGTCTCATATATATATATAATATAATATATATTATATATATGTAATATATATATTATAATATATATATAATATATAAGCTAATGATAACTTGCCATCCAGAAGTGATATAAAATATATCATTATGTACATATTTATATAGTAGAAAGAACACAATTTAGTTTCAGATGACCTGAGTTCATATCCTGGATCTGCCACTTATTATCTGTGTAACTTTGAGTAACTATTCTGGGCTTCAGTTTCCACATTTGTTAAAAAAAAAAATTAGGGTGTTAGACCTCTAAGGTCTTTTCTAGATTCAAGCCTATTTATGTATAGGATGCAGGCCATTTATATAGTAAGAATGAGAAATGACTGTTGAATAGCCTGATTGTTGTGATTAAGTTGCATTGTTATGTTAAGTTCAGATCCACATCAATGAAGAGAATAGTCACATTGAGATTACAGATCCAGTCATATATTAAAGTAAGATATAGCTAGAAGTAATCTGTGAAGAATATCCAACAATTACAAAATTCTGAGGAGAATGCTGAGGGATTCACTCTTGCCAATAAAATTTTGGGAAATTAGAAAAGAAAGAGACATTTGGGAAATGAATTACTGTCTATAAAATGGTGTCAAAGAAGATTTGTTTATCTTTTGGACCATGTTTAACTTAGCAGAATAATTATGTCAGAATGCACTTAGAAAGTCTATATTTACATGGATTTTTTGGATATGATCAAGAATTATTTATACTAAAAACAGAAGGAGAGGGAGGAAATGCAAAATATAGCTGTTGAGCTAACATTATGAAAAACATTTATGTTATAAGAAAATGAATCATGTTGGGGGAAGTGTTCAGTAATTTACAGGATAAAATAACAAGATAAATAGAAAGGATATGTAAAGTTCCATGGGTGTATATATAGCAATCTATAAAGCATCAGTTACAATCCAAGTGAATTTGATGTTTTAGTGCAAGGAGACACATCAAACTGTACACCTGCATCTGAGAACTGATGAAATAGACCTCCTCCCAAAAGGGATTCAGCAATACAAGTGTATATGATGTTCAAAAGAAACTGAATTGATAGGAGTGATAGATCAGTATTCTGTTTATCTCGCTGCCTTTCTATTTCTCACTTGTAATACTCCATTTGAAATCCTTTTGATTTTCCCTCTTAATTATTACTCTAATTTCTTGCTGGCCTCCCTGTGCCCTTTCTCTTCCCTCTTCAGTTCATCACTCACATCATTGCCGGTTATGTTCCTAATGTAAAGGTTTGATAATGCCATTTTACCTGCTAAAAAATCTTTAGTGGTTTTTATTGTGTACTGGAAAAAGTTCAAACTCGTTAAGCTGGCATTCAAACCTTCTACAGTCTGACTCCAATCTGCCTTTCCAGTTAGATTTCGTAGTACTCTACCTTTTGCACATAATGTGTATTCTAATCAAACTGGAGTACTTATGTTCCATAATCTTGTCCTTCTCTCTTCTCACAGGCTCTTTGAGAGTACCATCTCCTATGGATGGAATGACTTGCTTACCTCTGTCTCTGCCTATTGTTATCTTCCTCTCCTTCAAGGGACCAATTTATGCATCAATTATTCCATGAAGATCTCCAAAAATTTCCCTCAGTGAGAAGTTACCCCACTGTCTTTGAATCTCTCAGGACCTTCTTTTTTACCTATCTTTTTCACTGAATCAATTCTTAATTTGTATTAGAGATATGTCACAACCCTCCCTTGAGATGGTCAGGACCTGGAGGATAGAGATAGCAATGTTTTTTGCTTTGTGTTTTTATCACTTAACAAAGTATCCTGAACATAGCAAGTGCTTAAGAAGTCTTTGTTTTTGTATTAACATGGAGAGGTATTAAAGGGAGTAAGTAGAAAGAGAATTAACCTCAGTTAATGAGAACACTTGTTTCTTTATAGAAAAAAAATGATTGAACTGGATAAAGTTTTCAAGTGTCCCACCTTCTCTAATCATTGTCCATTTTTAGAATCTCAGACTATCTTTTCCCCCCCCTGAAATTTAGAAATTCCCTTTTTATAATGTAAGCCTACATTGTAGACAAGCCACATTCGGATGCTAAAAAGAAACAGGAACAATAATGACAAATCCATCATTGTGGGAATATGTTATAAAGCAACTGGCAAGAATAAGGAAATAGGTTCTATCTATCTACCTCTGTATGTGTATGTATGTGTGAAATATGCAACTGTTACTTAGGCAAGATAGTGTCATAAAGGAGAGCTTTTAACTACCAGGCAATCTGCTGGAAGTTTCATTCTTTTTCTTTTTTTTTCTTTGTGTGTTTGTAGTGGGGGGCAATAGGGGTTAAGTGACTTGCCCAGGTTCACACAGCTAGTAAATGTTAAGTGTCTGAGACTGGATTTGAACTCAGGTATTCCTGACTCCAGGATCAGTACTCTATCCACTGCTCCACCTAGCTGCCCCTCTCATTAAGGCAGATCATTTAATAAGAGGTTTTTTTTTTTTTTTTGAGCTTTATCTCTAGGTAGTATAGGAGATAAAATGAAGAACCTGGAGTTTGGGAGACTTGCATTCAAATATGGCCTCAGGCACTGTCTGTGTGACACTGGGAAAATCACTTAACCTCTGTCTGCCTCAGTTTCTTCAACATTCAGTTATTAGAATAATAATTACACTTATATCCTAAGACTATTATAAGGATAAAATGAGATAATATTTATAAGCTACTTTGCAAATCTTAAAACAATATATAAATGTAAATCATTATTAACATTATTATTATCAGAAAGTAGCTGGATCCATGAAAGAAACTGTTTCCCTGGATCTAATACTGACCAACTAGCAGGACCTGTTTGGTGAACTGAAAGTGACGGAACCTCGGGAATGACCACATCATCTTACAATTTAGAGATCATGAAGGACAGAAACATCAGGTACACAGACTTACATTTACCTTAAACATTAAGATAGTGAAATTCTAAAAATCAAAAGTGAAGATTCCACAGCTTAATGTTTTAAAAGGAGAACTTGGTTCAAGAGGAATAAGAGGTCTTCAAAAACTTAGCCCAGTACAATATTCTTATTCTATTAGAAAAGCAGTATTTTCATTCCATTTATAAACAATTCCAGATGTGTATATTAGCCTATGTTTTGTACTTAGTTTCTGGATGATATTTTCTTATCTTTCTGTGTCTTTTTTTTAAACAAATATTTTGGATTTCCATGTGGAAAGTCCTGCTAAGTTGGAAATGGGTTGGAGCTTTCAGTGAGATATATAATATGATTACTCTGCCTAAGACAGGATTCATACTTTGGGTATGAGTTGAATTAAATTAGTTGGTCTCTGAAGCTGTTTAGCATACATTTTTATAATTTTGCATTTTTAGGATTCTGGCTGTATCCAGGAAGATGTTCATGGTATAGTAGATAAGGACAGCACCCCCTTCCCGTTTGCTCAAACCCATAAAGACTCTATCATAGTTGTTATCCTGTAGGATTAAAAGAAGCTGGGAAAAGAAACTCTGAAGTCAAAACCTCCAAGAGGCTTTGAATCAGGATAATGTTAACTTGTTCCCTTCATGTTCTGAGTATAGGCATCAAGAGATATTTTTTTAAAGAATAAGAATAGGCTAAGAGCAAATGGTACTCAAGTTTAGTTCTTAACCCTGGGTTAGGAGTATAAGAAGAGAAGGGTCAGGGAGCTCAGAACACCTCTATGGGGAAAAAACTAAGGGATGAAGAAACTTATTAAATGGAAAATTAGGGAAGAAAAAGCCAGAGATTACTTCCTCTTTGAGCACTACAATGTGTGAGAGAGGTGTTCCTTTACATAGAATGGGTAATTCAGGAAAAGATTATTAACAAATTAAAATACCAATTCATTTGAAATATTACTGAATGTATAATAACATGTCATGTATTTTCTTCAATGGACAGATATTAATAGTCCAATGCTAGTACTATTAAATGGAATGGAATCCCATGAAATTTTCTGATGTTTAAGAGGAGACCTCATCCTACATAAGGTTGAAAACCACTAATCTAAACCTTATATAATAAGTGGCACAATGATATCACAAGGAAGTATGTAAAATATCTTACCTCATTACTGCCATCAACATCAAATTCACTGCTAAACTCTTTGGTGTTTGCATTTTCAGAATCAAATTCTGCAAGAGCAATTGGTGCTGGCATTGGGGGACTAGGATTGTGAATAGATGAATGAGAAGAACTCTTGTCCCTCATAAATTTTTCCATGCTGCTGCCAGAAGCAATATTTCTCTCTTTTTCATTCTGGAAATCTTGATCATTGCTTATTTTATTAACTGACTGGCTGGATGTATCATTCTTTTTCTCCACACTTAGATTTTCCACTCCTTTGTTCTCTTTTGAAATAGTTTGCTTCTTAGTAAAAGCTTCTGCAATGAGGTCAAATAAAGTTCGTTTCACATAATGGATCCCCTTTTTAATTCTTTTCATTGCAAGATGGAGATTTTGTGAATCAGCTTTCACATCACTCATTGCAGAGTTCTCTGAAATAAATGAGCTCAACAAAGCCACAAACAGGATAAGTACCTAAATGGGGAAAGAAAAAAGGAGAGGGTAAAAATGCACCTTTTATTTTGGGGCTGACATCGCCAGTTTAAAAAAAAATGAACACTGTGGGCCAAAGAACAAGTGACATGAGAAGCAACTTGTTAGTGAATTGAGGTTGAAACCATTTTCTCTCGAGAAGGGAGTAGGCCTCATGACAACTTCTGTGTCCGTTGTAGTGTGGAAGTGTCCTAAACACCAATGGGATGTTACCAAATGAGCAGAGTCATAGCTAATGACCTTGAATATAACCAGAGTCTCGGACACTGGGCTGGACACTGAACCAGGTACATATTCCACCCATACCTATCTTATCTAAGGGAAGTTAAGTGTCACAATGGAGTAAGGAATACCTCAAATTCTCACTCAGACACTTACTAGTTATATGATGTTGGGCAAGTCCCTTACTCTTTCTCAACCTCAGTTCCCTTATCCATTTAATGAAGATAATAGCACCTCTCTCACAAGTTCTTGCAACAATCAAATAAGAACATACGTAGAATGCTTTGCAAACTTTAAAGTGATATGTATTATTATTGTCATTTTATTAATTTATTACTATAATTACCTTTTAGATATATATCATCTCTGGAGAAAGAGAGAGACAGAGAAGAAAAGAAAGACATAGAGATGAGAGAGGGAAAACCTGATATCACCTTCTTCACAGAGCCCTGAAAGGTGACAGCCCTAGTTTATTAGTTATTTATGTATTCAATTACTAGCAAACTCTCACTTCCTCTGCTAATTCTTAAGATTCAAGGTCATCATCTCCTGAAAAAAAATCAGCTTATCCTATTACCCCACTCTTCCCTCTCCTCCTTTTCTATTTCAGTTTTATCCTTCTCTGCTCTTCAAATTCAATTGTATTCTCTAGAACTACCACCACATCTTTCAATTTCTCATCTGATGTAATCCAAAAAACATTTACTAAGCACCATGAACAAAATAAGAGCATATAAGCAAACAAAAAATGTCCCTGCCCTCAAGCAATTCTACTGAGGTGGGTCAGAGAAGTCAAGATACAATAAGGAAACAGGCAATTATAACCAAAATAATTCCCTCCATCTCTCTCTAGTCTACCAGTTTATCAATGTTTTCAGCATCCATGACTTTAATCTTTACTCCAAGTAGAGTAATTAAAAGGAGGGACACATCTTAAATCTTACCATTACCTTCCACTGTGTTCTGAAAGCTTGAACTCAAGTTCTTCTTTGCACTCTTCTGTCCTCCTGTTTTTCCCTCTGCCTAACTACCTAAATCTATTCTGCAATCTCAGTGTTATCTCCCTTGTCTCCTTTCCCAGATGTTCTTCTGGACCATCATCCTTGCTCTAATCTCAATTTCTTCCCACTGCAGTCTTGACCCTATATGCCAACTATATAATAACACCTACCTTTGAATCACTTGACCCTTTGTTTCATTAATTCTCAGATCTTGTCAAACACAATACTAGATTACTCCCTTTACCTTCCTTCTACCCTTCTACTTATGAGATACTGAACATTCTGAAAAATAATGACATGCAATAGAGCCATTTGAGTTTACTAAAATTTATGTTATCTAACATCACTTAGGCTCTTGATTCTCCATAATAATCCATTTAGTTCCTTCTGAATGAATATCACGCTCCCTCAAAGTAGTTACTATAAATTGTCCCTTTTCTTTATAAGGCCCCTATACCATTTCTATTCCCTTAATCTCACATGACTATACTTCCTACTTTGATGAGAAAACTAAGGCCATTTACATTTAACTTACTCTTCTATCCTTTTCAAAAATACCTCTCTATGCAATAGCAGAAATGGACAATGAACATGTTCAGATTTGCCCTTCTTGATATGTAATAGACAATATGTACCTTCCTAACCTAAGTTCCAATATAGAACTTTGGAAGTCTGTTTTCTGTCATGCATGAGAAAGGGGCTGGTAGTATGTAGTGATAAAAAAAAATATTCTAATTGGCTGTGCAGTCAGAAGAACTAGTGATTCAGCAGGTACTGAGTCACAACTGAATTTGTATATAGGAGGGATGATCTCTTGATCTTTCAGTGTCTTCCTTCTTGGTGGCAAGTAAGGCAAGGACTGCTGTGAGCTGCAGGATGAGGCTATGGACAGCTATCCTGCATCCTTCTGGGCTGCAATGTTTATATAAGTACATGGTGCCTCTTTTTTTTTTGTTTACTTTTACCTTATCTTTGGTGAATGAGTATTCTGAGAGGAAAATGTGGGTTCTGGAAATCCAAAAGTCCCACCACAGTTCCCACCAGCTATTGGAGGTGGTAGTAGTGGACACTAGAGTAGTAGTGGCTGATGACAGAGGAAACAAAGCACTTGCATACAGTTGTGGAAATATAATCACCTGAGCTTCAAGTCTTATGAACCCTTGTGAAAAAGAGAAGTGGCAGGTATGGACTCTGGAAAGGCAAGGACCATTGGAACCCAGTGGAGAGCAACACCTATTGGAAACCTCATAAGGACTCTGTTAAAGGGAGAGATGGACTTCCAGTGCAGGAAGTCAGGAGGTACCCCTTTGCCACATTTATTTTCTATATATGTGCTTCACTGTCATTGCACTCTGAAGTATGTGCACATGTAACTAGTGTGCACATAGGGCAAGTGTGTTCCTTGGAAGGGGACTGTTTGTAACTATTGTTCTTTTCTATATCTTCTCAGTAAATCTCTTTTCTAAAAAGCTAATAGAATTCAACTGGTACTGATTGATAACAGGGAAGACACTAGTGGAGTGACTTAGAAGCCACAGTTTTAGAAGGCAATATCTTGCTTAGGATTTCTTCTAGAATAGAAGTGTCAAACACATGGCAGGGTTTCATGTGGCCCACAACACCCCTGAGTATGTCCTGAACCACCTGGATAATATTTAATGAATTAAAATACAGTAAAACACAAATAATGCCAATATGTCATTTTCTAAGACAATATGTGGACCACAGGGATACTTATGTACCATTTGGCAAGCCCAGTTTCTATTTGAGTGTGACAGAACTGTTCTAGAACACTTAGATAGTGGCCAGCAGTCTCTCTTTGGGGGACCCAGTCTGCTGCTGAAAGTCCAAGTTGGGAGAATGAACCTAAAGGAAATTCTACACCTACATCATCCTTCCTATTTCTTCCTTTTCTCTTGTTTTAGAGGAATAGGTAGTCTTGCAAAGACTACTTTGTAATATCTATTTTTAAAATGTATGTTATTGGGGGCGGAGCCAAGATAGCGGAGGGAAAGCAGTGTCTGTCTTGAGCTCTCTCCCAAAGCCCTCCAAATACCTAAAAAAAATGGCTCTAAACAAATTCTAAAGCAGCAGAACCCACGAAAAGGTAGAGTGAAACAAATTTCCAGCCAAAGACAGCCTGAATGGTTGATCAGAAAGGTATATCGCGCCGGGCAGGGAGAGGAGTGAGGTGTGGCGTGGGCATATAGGCCGCAGCAACCCTGGAGCAGGCCTCAGAGGACTGAATTGCGGGCAGCTGTGGCGGTTTCCAGACTTCTCAAACCAGGAATGCCAAAGACAGCTTAGAAGGTCAGTGGGAAAAGTCTGTGACTGTGGTGAGAGAGGAGCTAGGTCTCAGCCACAAGTCCCAGGTGTGCCCTCAGGGCAGTGACTGTTTCCTGAGCTTCCAACCCACAGACAGAGGGGGAATCGAGTGGCTGATCAGAGGGGGATTGCAAGGATCTCTTTGCCAGTGCTGAGGCAGGAATCCCTTGCTTTACTGGTGCTTGGATCTGGGTCACAGTTCTGAGGGGCAGTCCTGGGGCAAGGAGGAATGCTGGTGCAGTGGAGCTTGTTGTGGCTGTGGAAAGGAAACACCTCGACCCTTTCATACCACCTTGGAAGAACTGAAAATTTACAGTTCCCTAGAAGTACCTCTGAAAACAGATGTACAAACCCCTGAAGCTGGGACAGTACACTCTTCACATTGGAAGCAGACTTTTACCTTAACAAAGAGTTTAAAACTCAAGTGATTGTGCGGGATCATGAGTAAGCAGCGCAAAAAGAGTCAGACTATATTATCTTACTTTGGTGACAAAGAAGATCAAAACATACAACCAGAAGAAGACAATAAAGTCAAAGCTCCTACATCCAAAGTCTCCAAGGAAAATATGAATCAGTCCCAGGCCTTAGAAGAGCTCAAAAGGGATTTTGAGAAGCAAGTAAGAGAAGTAGAGGAAAAACTGGGAAGAGAAATGAGAGTAATGTAAGAAAATCATGAAAAACAAATCAACAACTTGCTAAAGGAGACCCAAAAAAATACTGAAGAAAATAATACCTTAAAAAATAGCCTAAACCAAATGGCAGAAGACGTCCAAAAAGCCAATGAGGAGAAGAATGCCCTAAAAAGCAAAATTGGCCAAATGGAAAAGGAAGTACAAAAGTTTCTGAAGAAAATACTCCTTAAAAATTAGAATAGAGCAATTGGAAGCTAGTGACTTTATGAGAAATCAAGACACTGTAAAACAAATCCAAAAGAATGAAAAATTAGAAAACAATGTGAAATATCTCATTGGAAAAAAACTGACCTGGAAAATAGATCTAGGAGAGAGAAGTTAAAAATTATTGGACTATCTGAAAGCCATGATCAAAAAAAGAGCCTAGACATCATCTTTCAAGAAATTATCCAGGAAAACTGTCCTGATATTTTAGAACCACAGGGCAAATTGGAAATTGAAAGAATCCACCTATCACCTCTTAAAAGAGATCCCCAAAGTAAAACTCTTAAGAATATTGTAGCCCAATTCCAGAGTTCCCAGGTCAAGGAGAAAATATTACAAGCAGCCAGAAAGAAACAATTCAAGTATTGTGGAAACACAATCAGGATAACACAAGATTTAGCTGCTTCTACATTAAGGGACCGCAGGGCATTGAATATAATATTCCAGAGAGAAAAGGAGACAGAATTACAACCAAGAATCACCTACCCAGCAAAACTGAGTATAATCCTGCAGGGGAAAAGTTGGTCATTCAGTGAAA